TAAAAAGCACTGGTGATCACATGAAGCACATCATCTCATGGGAAGAGTTGGAGGAAGTTATGCTTAGCAAAGTTAGCCAATCACAAAGGGCAAGTACAGCATGAATCCACTGAGGTAAGTATAATCAGCACAGTCGGTATAGAAGAGAAGCCACTTATCTCACACTCTATGGGTTGAGATACAGGCAGTTGGGTGGGGAGTAGACCAAACCCAAGGATGTACATGTCATCCCAGCATAAAGAAGGGCAAAAGAGGTGGGGGTGGTGGAGAAAAAGGAAAAGAGGGAGGTGATGGCCTTGGAGGAGCAGAGCACTAGTCCACAGAGGGAGAGGGTATTGTTTCTGTCTTCACAGAAATGGGAGTGTGAGTGCAGACCCCACCATGGTGTGCCAAACCTTGAGGACAACGTAACCACACAGAGCAACTCAGGAACTCATGAGAAGTCTACAGGGCCAGCCCCAATCAGAGTTAAACTGACCCCCTCCCTAGAAGTATGTGCTACAGAGGACAACTCTGAACCTACAGACTGGGTAGACGGGTTGGCCTGCTGTGCCCACGTGGAAGCAAACAAAGAAGGAAAAAGAGAGAATGAAGGACTAGATCCCATACTGGCACACCCAATCCGGAGGATGGCATCCCTGCACAGATCTGCTAAGGCACAGAGAGGACTGTAGGGCCGCGACAACAGCTTGAGACACGATGACCCCTCACTGGCGCACACTGCAACAGAAGACAATTCTGGGGACATGCAGTGGGGAGTGAATCGGTCTGACCCCCTCTCCCCCGCCCCAACAGTGGGGCAAACGAAGAAGGGAACATAACAGATCAGCAATGGAAGCAAAGCCACAAAGCTCCTGAGGAGCCTCCGAAATAGACTTTAGACTAGGAGGGGCAGTTCCCAGAAGCCCCCAGGACTGGTGGGGATATAGTCATAAAGGTCAGCAGGCAGAACTAGAATTAGGTATGCTTTTTCTTTTTTTCACCGCTCTTCTTCTCAAATCTCTTGTTTTCTGTTTGTTTTGTCTCCGTTATTGTTGGTTTTGCCTAACTATAGGCATGGGAAGCAAGCCCGAGGAGAAAGCAATGGGACCAATGGTTCTGGAGGGACTTACGGGGAGGAGGAGGCCAGGGAAGAGAGTGGTGAGCAAACAACCCCATAGACAGGGGAACAACTGGGAAATTAAAATAAAAAATGAGGACGATGAAGAGCTCCTGGGGGTGTTGGAGCAACAGCAGTCTAGCTGAGTGGAATTACTAAGAGGCAGAAGAAGGGCGAGCATGATGGTGAGGCAGGAGGAAGGTAAAAGGAAACAGGAAAGATCTATGAAGCAAAACCATTGATAGAAGTAGAAACATAGGTGTGTTCATATGTAAATTTACTAATTCATGAAAATAGAGGTATTGGCCTATGTACATATATTTTATGTCAATACATTGGGGAAGTAGACAGATTTTGGGCCTCTGCTTAAGCCCTCCCTCAGCACATTCTGTGATGCTCACCCTCCTAGCTCTATTGCTGAAGACAAAATGGGTACATAAGCAAATGTGGTGAAGAAAGCTGATGGTGCCCGGCTATCAAAAGATATCGTGTCTGGGGTCTTAGAGGCTTGAAGTTAGAAAAGTGGCCATCTAACAGAGAAGCAACAAACCCACATGGAAATAAGCACACCAGCCTTTCCGATCATGAGTTGTTGACAGGATCAGGTAACAGGCATCAGAAGACCCAAAACAAAATTAAAAAAATATTGTTGAGAATGAGGGGGTTCAGAGCAGAGACTCAAAACCCATCTGTAGACAATAGGATATCCCCTTACAGAAGGGTCACAGGAAGGGGTGAGTCAATCGGGGTGCAGCATAGCACTAATGAAACACACAACATTCCTCTGGTTCTTTGAAGCTTCCTCACCCCATCCCCCTCCATCACTATCATGACCCCAGTCCTACCTTTCAGTCTGGCTAGACCAAAGCATGTACACTGGTACAGATAAGAGCTCATGATACATGGAATCCAGGTCAGATAAACCCCTCAGGAACAGAAATGGGAGTAGTGATACCAAAGGAATAGAGGGCAGGTAGGGGGAGAAGGGAAGGAAGGGAGAACCAATCACAATGATTGAAGTAGGACCACCACCCACCCTGAGGGGGATGAACAACAGAAACGTGGGTGAAGGGAGACAGCAGTCAGTGTAAGATTTGAAAATAATAATAATTTATAATTTATTAAGGGGTCATGAGGGTGGGAGGGTGGGGGAAGGAGGGAAAAAAAGAAGAGCTGATACCAAGGGCTCAAATAGAAAGTAAATATTTAGAAAATGATGATGACAACATATGTATAAATATGCTTGATACAATTGATGTATGGATTGTTATGAGCTGTACAAGCCCCCAATAAAATGATCTTTAAAAACAAAACAAAACAAAGAACAATTGTGAGGATGGCATAGGGCTGGTAGGTGTTTCCTTCTGTTGTGAATAGGGTCGCTATGAGTGAGTACCCCATAACAGCCAACAACAGAGGCTGGAGGGAAGTGAGGAGTGGGGTGTTATTGCTCATGGGTAAATAGCGGTGATGGTTGCAAACACAATGAATGTCCTTCACGGCCCTAAACGATCCACCGAAAATGGCAAACATTTAAATCTATATCTTACCACAAAAGATTTTTACCCTTGGATAGACTAATATCCTCTGTGTTCCCACTCGCCTTGCTCGGTGACTCTGTATGAAAGAGCAGCTAATTCAGTGGGTAGTTATATAATCATTTGTCAATGTGAGAGGATTAAGAGTGAAGGGGAGGAGTCTAGCCTGTCAATCAGGTCATAGCCAATGAGGCCTCTGTGGGAGCATGGCCTTCTCCTGAGGATTCTGGGAACTCCTGTCTTCCTCCTTGGAGGTGGGAGACACTCTATAGCTCAGCTCACTCCCTGGGAGACATTGCAGCTGACAAGACACATGGAACTACACTACTGCCCTGAGCTGGAGGAATCATGTGGAGACCCCTGCCAGCACTGAGATACCACTACCACCACTGGATCCACAAGACTTTTCATCCACTGACCTGTGATCTTCTGGCATTCAGCGTCATGTGTTGTATGTGTCTGAAGAGGAATTTATAGACTGGTAATGGACATATGGGCCAATATCGGACTTATGGGCTTGGACTGGACTGGGCTGGGATGTTTTCTTAATGTTCAATTACTCTTGCATATAAAGCTCTTTCTTAGACACATATGAGTGTCTATGAATTTGTTTCTCTAGTCTACTCAGACTAACAGTATTTTTACCACGTCTGTCTCCCTCACTAGCTAGGGAGTAACAATCTAGGACATCAGCTATCCTGGTTAGTCATATGTCTCTAGCCTCTACTGCATGACGCAGCATCTCTCCAGTGTTCAGGAAGGGTTTATTAAATGATTGAACTAATAAGGAAAATTGAATTCAGCAACTTGGTCTTTACTGTACATGCAGAGGCCACCACTGTTCCCTTACACCCGTGGAAAGATTTGGCCCGACCACGGAGAACTGCAATGGAATGATGCTCTGTCGTATATTTTATTGTGAAACACAGTCCTCACCCAGAAAAAGCCACAAAACACAAATATATGGTTTAATTATAAAGCAAATGTCACTGTGACTCAGAGGCGTGATGAAACTGACAAAATGCCACCAACCATGCTCTGATCACAGCCCTGCTCCTCTCCCACAGAAGCCACCACGATTACAAGTGTCAGGGTAAACACATCTGCTCTCTTCTTCATGGTTTACTACATCTGTACGCATTGGTAAAAAATATATATAGTTTAGGGTTGTTTGTTTCCAAACATTGTATAATTGGAAGTATACTAGAAGTATTGCTCTGAGCCCTGGTTCTTTTGCTTCACAGCGTGCAAGATTCCTTCATGTTTCATGTAAATGTAATTCAGTCATTTTAAATTGGTGCAAAGTATTACATTTTATGAACATCTTGAAATGCTGTTGTTCTGAGTCATAGAGTATGTGTGTCCTTCAATATTGCAAGGTAGTAACAAGCTGTTTTCCAAAGTCTTTGTACAAATTTGCATCCCCATTACCAGTGTGACTCCCAGCCTCATCAATCTTGGTATTGTCAGACTTTTACATTGCATCCAATCTGGTTGGCTTTTTACTATTTACATGTGGGTGCTAATTTGCATTTTTCCTATTACTGAGGAGGCCAACTCCTTTCCCCCTATATTTATTGGACATTGGTGTATTCTCCCCTGTGATGCATTTTGCTAATTGTCATAATAGCTCACCTATCTTGTCCTTGTTGATGTGAAGTAATTCTCTTGCATGGTGGTTATGAATCCCTCGTTGGTTATATGCATCGCAAATGTCTTCTCTTCTGTAGCTTATTTTCCCCACTATCTTTTTCACGTCCTTTCATGAACAGAGACGAACACTGTTACCGAGTCAAAACTCTCTGTCTTTCCCGAGACTTGGGGCGTTTGCGTTTGCTTGAGATTCGTTTCCCCATGGTGAGGTCATGCCTTCAGTCTCCTAGGCCATGTTCTCGCTTTGTCTTTCATATTTAGGTTTTGTATGTGTTTGATTTTTTCTGTTTGGCTTGAATAGAGGGACTCATTTCATTTTTTGACATATGGCGACATCTATTATGTGCCCATTTTCCATACCGATGTGCAGGATTATTCCTTTTCCATATCAATTATTCACTTATGTCTGTGTCTTTTTCTAGACTCTGTGCCATGGGTCAATATGTCTTTCCATGACTTAATAACTCACCACTGTTATAATTTTAGTCTTATTCTATTAAAAACTTCATTGATGCTTTTAAGAAGATACTTTTAATGGACATTTTTAGTTCTTTCCACAGACAGGTTGATTTAATAACCTAGTCTATCCTTAATGGGAATGGATGTTGCAGTGGTATATTTTTGGTCCTGCTATAAGTCATTCTTTTGCCTTAAAAACTTTTTGATGGCTTTCTTAGCATACTCATGACTAGGACTACAATGAGCTCTATTTAAGGATCCAGTGCTCCAGATTGCTGTGAGTCCTGGGCACATGCCATTTTGGTGATGGCAGCTTTGACATCCTTGTTCCGCAGGGTGTAGATGAGGGGGTTGAGCACAGGGGTGAGAATGGCAAACACCACGTTGCCCATGATGTGGAAGTCGAGGGGCAGCTCGGCCCTGTAGGCCACGTAGGCTATGGCAATGGACGAGTAGTAGGTGCCGACCACCAGGAGGTGGGAGCTGCAGGTGGAGAAGGCTTTCGAGCGCCCTTCTCGGGACTTGATGCGAAGGACCGAGGCCAGGATGCGGGCGTAGGAGAGGAGCACCAGGAGGAGGGGCAGGAATGATACCACCATGGCAATGCAGAAGCCCATGAAGGTCTGCGGGGTGGTGTCAGAGCAGGAGGCCTGGACCACAGCCAGGTGGTCGCAGAAACAGTTGTATATATGAACAGTGCCATCAAAAGCCATCTGGGAGGTCTGCACCACTGCTGGGATGGGCAAGAGGAGGGCGGTGAGCCAGGCACCAGCTGCCAGCGCAGCATTGGTCTGTGGGGTCATGTGGACAGGGTAGTGCAGTGGGCGGCAGATGGCCACATAGCGGTCGTAGGCCATGACCACCAGGATGAAGGCCTCTGAGCAGGAGAAGCTGTGGAAGAGGTACATCTGCAGGAAGCAGGCGGGGAAGCTGAGGAAGTGGTCCCCTATTAGAAGCAAGGACAGCATCTTGGGGACGGTGGATGTGGTAAAAAGGATGTCTAGGGCAGAGAGGTTGACCAGGAAGAAGTACATGGGCTTGTGGAGGTTGGGTTCGACCACGACTGCCACCAGGATCAAGGTGTTACCCACAAGGATGAGGAGGTAGAAGAGCAGGAAGATGAAGAAGAGTGGGAGGAAGAGGAACTCCTGCAGAGAGGGTATGCCCACCAGATAGAAGACAGGTGGGAAGTCCTCTGATCCATTACAGGCCGTGGCTTTCATAGTGAGCGGCGCTGGATGCCCGGGGGACAGAGAGCCAGGGCATCTAGAAACCAAACAACCAGGAGTTTAGAAGGACAGTTCTATAGCATTTGCTGTACAGTTCATGCAATTCAAAGCATTTACAAACTAATCTGTAGGACTGCTTGTGGCCTTCTACATTGATTCCTCCCACAATTCACTCATTCCCTCTCCCACCGAGTGCTTATTAAAGCACAGACAATGTGCAGGCCAGTGAAAAGGTAAAACCAGGCTTTCAAAGCTCCTACTGCCACAGCGCTCAAATGCCAGTCGGAGGGGCATGCATGAAAAAGCCCACGACAATTAGTTACCCAGTACAAATGTGCTGCATGCCCTAAGAAAGCTCTCCCAGGCACCCGCCTCATGCCCCACACTACCTTGTGGCCATCAGATGTCTTATATCCAGATATGCCTCCAGTTTCTTTAAGTTTTCCTAAGTGACATCATCATCGCACCACCACTGAGAGCCGATGCTTCTTCCAAGGTTTCCTACAATCTACTGTCTGTTTAATCTACTCATGGCCCAGACAATGGCATCTCTCTGACTGCCTGTTTTTATACTGAGTTCTCTCTCTCTCTCTCTGTGTGTGTGTGTGTGTGTGTAGGGGGAGTGTCTTTCAGGGAGGAGAGGGGCAAATGCTTTGGATGAGAAGACTCCCCTTCTGATGGAACCTGAACTAAGGCTAGATCTTCCTACCATTGTACAGAAGTAGGGAGTTCGAAATGCTTCTTGAATTACTCTACCGATTTCCATCCCCCTGACTGCTGCAGCCCCGCAGGCGTGCCTGTTCAGTCATTTTTACAGCCTGTTGGTTCCTCTAAGACCTCAGAAAACCCCTCAAGAAGCTATTATGAGCGCCACTGTTGCTCAAAGACTGGCCCAAGACAAAACCAAAACCAAACAAACAAAACCTGTGCATGAGAAGCTGTTCTGAAAGGCTTCAGGCATCTTCCCTGACAGTGTGCTCAGGCCAACCCCAGGACTGATGGTTTTGCGCTGAGGAAAATACTGGTGCACGCTCTGGTGCACGCCTACTACAGGAATAAGGTCTCAGACCAGACAACGCAGGCAGGTCCAGGTCTACGTTTCCATCGCTGCTGTTTGAACCCCAGTGATGCCACGAACAACGTACTCTTCAATTGCTTGCAACTCTATCTATGATCTTCCTATTCTGAAACAAAAGTAAGTCCAACCACGGGGGTCAAACCCCAGCACTCACGTGCTTGAACTGCAGACCAGCAGAGCCAGGGGGAAAGGTCCATCTCTAACGTTGAGGCCATCTCCACTGTCCTCCACCACCTTCCCATGCTTTGTCATTGTTTGCTCTGGGACTGACTTGGATTGTGTTGCTCAGCTCCTAGACTGGGAAGCTGTCATGGGGAGTCGGTGCTGACTCACAGCGAGCCCCGCGTACAACACAACTACTGTCTGGTCCCGTGCAGGCTCCACTTGTCACTCTGTCTGGCCCACTGTGGCAGCCACCGTGTCAATCCCTCTCACTGGGTCTGTCCTCCTTTATTTTAGCAACCATGATGGCCTTTCCAAGAACTGGCTCTTCCTGAAAGTACGGGAAGAGTTGGACGTGGCGGCTGGTCAATGGCTTTGTGTTGGGAGGAAGCCCAGGGCAAACAATCATCCCATGTGTGCCCCTCCAAAGAGACTCTCAGAGATCACTCTTAGGCTCTTGTACCATCCCATGAACAGGCCAAAAGAGGAACTTACAGTGTCTTGATTTTGAATGACTGTCCTTCAGTTAACCAGAGCCACATCCTAACGGGTTTGGTCATGAGGTTTTTCTCTTACCCAAGGAACTGCACACATCACCTTGTGCCTGGCTGCCTCAGGGAAGGAAAGGGCCACACAGGGTCAACCCCAGAGGCCATTGAATCCCACTGTCCACCTCTTCTATCACAATGCTTTGCAACCAGTGATGTAGTTACTGAGATCCAGGTAGAGAGCTGGCTCTTGGATTCCCACCACCACTGGGATGTCCCCCGAATAGACCAAGCATTTGGCTGAGTCAGAGCAAAGCAGGGGCACCAACAATTCTTGCCAAAAGAATCTAACAACTGGCCGTTCTGAGCGCCACTCCAGTCGTCCCTCACAGACAACTACCAGAAGTAGGCTAGATTTTCTTACACTCTTTAACAGGTTAGTGCCCCTGTTTCCCTTTGAATAACATATTACATCCAAATAATGCAGCCCAGTGCTTAGAAACAAAAGGGAACCTGCCCCAGGGGACCTTCTCCATTGGAATTGTCTGTGTGCCAGTGACAGCGCTAGTGGGTGAGCGATAAGGACAGAGACACCGGTAACCGGAGTGTCTACTGACAGTCAACTCTACTCATCTCATTTAGTCTCATGAGACGACCCACCCAAGAGCCTGGTTATGCCCCTGCAATAAGTGAGAGGTCAGAGAAAGGAAGCCTCTTGTTCACAGCCAGGACCAGCCAAGAAACTCAAGCCAAACTTGCTGCCACCAAATAGACTTGTGCTCTGGGGGGACCCTGATAGAACAGGGTGGCACTGCCCCTGTGGGTTTCTGAGACTGTGACTCGTTACAGGAGTCGAAAGCCTCCTCTTCTCCTGTGGAGCCACTGTTGGTTTTCATCCCCTTGATGTGGCGGCTTGCAGCCCAGCGTGTGAGCCACTTTGCCACCAGGGTGTGTCTGAAACAGCTGGTCTGGAGCCAAGCTGCTGGCAAGGACTGAGTCTCAGCCTGGGAATGAAGAGTCCTGTTTCCAAGACCAGCTCTGCCGCTTGCTGATGGCCTGCCTTTGAGCTCCTGAGCCTAAGCTTGGGAGGACAAGATCGATGTGTCCAATTCAATGGGCGATGTTCTGAGTGTCCCCCCTGTATTTGGAAGGATAAGGATTCAGAGGTGAGTAGCATGTGCCCCATGCCCATGGGGGAGTGGGCAATGTAATGATTCCTGCCACAAGCCACATTCATAGCCTCCATGCGTTTGCTGTGCCACTAGTGGTTAAATGTGAGTGGACATGGGAGTCAGAAAGGAAGCGATTCCAGTCCTACCTGCCATCGCCAGTATGTGACCTTGACCTAGCCACTGTCCCTTCTCCAAGTCTTTTATTCCTTCATCTATACCTCTGTAGAATTATTGCCTTTAAGGAGACAACATAGAAACAATGCTTTCATAAAAGCCTGAAACACAGTCGAGACCATTTGAATCCTTGTAAAAGCCCCTTATCTGGGCCTGCCAGGATCTATGGCCCAAGACCTCCCTCCCCCAAGCCCCCTGCCCAATCTGGTCCCTAGGCCTCTTCCTGAATCCTTGGCCCAGGTTCTGCATGGTCTCGCTTCCTACCCCAGTATCCCCACCCCAGTCCACTCACCTACCAAGCCCTGTACATGTGAGTGTCTCTTATGGTGGCCCCTTTGTCTTTACACTTGGCCTTGGTGGGAAGAACCAAGCCGGTGCTGAGCTGCAGCCTATTAAGGCCTCCAACCTCTCCCTTCAGTCAGGCTTGCTGGGACTCTCTGGATCAAAAGGGTTCCCCCATGGGGCACTGTACCCATGAGTCACCCATGTACAGCTTCCTGGCCCCCCTCCTAGAGCATATGTGTTGAAGGGATGTGCCTCTGGGATTTGCTAATAATGTAAGCAGCCTCATTAACAGCTCTCAGGGGTTCTAGAACTTTATAGCTGATGAGTTCGTTTTTATTTTAAAACCTTTTATTGTGCTTATTTTTCCATCCAATTGTTCATATGCACTTTGTTTCACAACATTGGTTGGGATCCTTCACTGCGTTAATACTTTTCCCATTCCCACCCGCCATTCCCTATGGATAGTCATCTGCTTCCTGAGGCCCTCCCTACCTTCTCCACTTTGCTTTCGGGCAGATGTTGCCTTTTTGGTAACTTATAGTTGAATGTTCTAAGGCGCACATGCCTCCTGAGGTCTGCTGTTTATCTAATAGGCTCGTCTATTGACTGATGGAAGGACGGTGTCCCATGGTGGCTTCATCTCTAAGCTGGAAGGTTGTCTTAGGGCACTAGTGTTTGTCAAGTCAGTAAGTTTGGCCATTTTTATCCATTTGAATCCTACTCTACATTTTCCACTCACTCTAACTGGACCTTTTATGATGGTCCCGGTCAGAAGAGTCGGGGGTGGTAGCTGGACACCATCTAGTTACTCTTGTTCAGGTGTACGGAGGTTGTGGCTCCTGTGGGCCACTGGACCTTTGGACTCATTGCTTCCTGAGTCTTCATTCTCCTTCTGGTAAAAGACTAACAGTTGTATCTTAGCTAGCCAGTTGCATGCTGTGAAGACTGCAGACACGACTCACCGAGTTAGGTTGTGGAGCATTATCCTTATAGACTCCGTTCTGTCAGTGGACTGAGCTGACCCATACTCTAGGACTAGGACCCATAGCCTTCAAGTCTAGTAGCTCAGTCCCTCAAGGTATTGCTTTGATGTAAGAAGTTTCCACTAACTATGTCTCCTAAATGCCTCATGCACAACCCTTAGACATCTTCTTAGCATACCTTTGTTTTCATTCATAAATTATTGTTTGCTATTACTGTTCTTACAGGATTGTATATGTTATAAATTGACCATAATTGTCCTTTTTTCTTGCATCCCTCTCCAGGTTTTCCTTTGTGTGTTAGTCTGGATAGACTAGAGAAACAAATCCATGGACGCTCATATATGTATAAGAAAGAGCTTTATATACAAGAGCAATTGAATATCCAGAAAACATTCCAGCCCAGTCCAGATCAAGTCTATAAGTCCAATATTAGCCCATATGTCCAATACCAATTTATAAAGTCCTCTTCAGACTCGCAAAACACATGCAATGACGCTGAATGTAGCTCACAGGCCAGTGGGTAGAAAGTCCTTGGATCCAGTGGTGTTGGAAACATCTCAGTGCTGGCAGGGGTCTCTGCATCAGGGTGGGTCCATGTGTCTTGTCTCCCAGAGTGTGTCACAGAGAGAAGAGTCTCCCACTCAAGGAGGGA